TGTCATCTCAACTGAGCCCCAGAGGACGGTCAGCATCCTGTTTTGTAGAAGAGAAAATGAAGGCACAGAGATTTTTGTCGTGAACTCCAGGATGACCAGCCAGTGTCCTCTGAGCTCAGGACTCCCTGGTTCCCAGCGATGGCATTGCACTACCTGAGAGAAGCACCCACTGACGCCAGGCACCTGCCGTTGTTCATTTATCAATGGGATAAGCGGGATTCACGGCAATGACACCCGTTGCCCACAGTGACAGAAACAGCAGGTGACTGAGCAGGGGTGCCACCCTGAGTCAGCAGGGCCCTGCTTGGCCTGCCCCTGCCCGGCCCGGGCCAAGTAGATTCTGAAGTACCTGCTTGATTCTCTGACTGGGCCACTGCACTAGCTCATGTCCTGCCCCCACATCTGAGCTGGTGGGCTGTCCACGTGAGCAATGGCCTTGCCGTCAGCCCCACAGGTGGCAGACAGGAGACGCTGCTCCCCACACGGCAGGGCTCAGCTATCCTGCTGCTGTGTGCCATTAAGAAACGAAAAGCACTGCCACTTCAACCACAGCACGGCAGAGATGAGAATGAGAAAAAAGTACATGTAGGATTGTTCAAGTATGGATTGTCTCACACCTGGACCTCTCTACCTGGGACCAGTCACGCGTGCTGGGCCACAGTGATGTGAAATGCCTATACTCCCACCAGCAACCTGCAGACTCCACTTAGGGCACAACACCCCGTAAGAGGCCACTGACCTCACGCACCACCATGCCGAGCAACACGGGTGTCTTCCACCAAGAAGCCTGTGTGTGTGCCCTGGGGCTCGACCTTGGGCACACAGTTCCCAGGAAGGGCAGAGGCTAAAGACCTCACCCAGCAGCCCACCTGCCACCCAGCCCACCCTCAGCAGCTCATGTAGAAAGGCCACAGCTCCCTGCCGCGAGGGGCTGCTGTGCCACTCCCATCCCTGATCCGAGAGTGGCGGGACAGAGATGCAGTGAAGATGACGCCTTTCCCTGGCAGAGAGCAAAGGGGAGAGACTTTTGGCAAATTATTTACTCAAGGACAATGGCATAAAATGAAGATACTCGACGCAAAGGGACTGGGAACCTAATGCTAGAGAATTTCACCTAAGTCTCACGCAGAGCTGAACAGGAGAGTCCTGAGGTTAGAGGCTCTTAGAGATCAGGACACAGGGCAACAGACACTGCTCAATGCTCACACCCAAGTCTGACACCACCCAACTGGCTGGCCAATGCCAGCGGAGTCTGGGGTCCTGGTGAGACCCAGTGAGGCTGCAGGAGGGACGCCTGCTCTGGGGACGGGTGAGGACCCAGGGCCGGGCAGCCCTGGGTGTCTGCTGCTTGTCCCAGGTGCTCGCACTCCTCTGTGGGGCTGGCAGTTTCAGGGGGAGAGACACGAAGGAAAAAAAATGTCAGATGGTGAAGAAAACAGGAAAAAAATACAACAGGAAATGGGAGTGGACAGGGCGTAGGGTTGGGAGCCTGGGCTGCGAGGGTGAAAGGAAGAGCAGGCAAGGCCTGGCTGGGAGGGAGCAAGGGCAGCAGGGGCGGCAGGGCTGCACACTGGCCCGCCCCGCCCACCTGAGCATTGGCTCCCTTCGTGGATGGAATCAGCACCACCTGCCCAGGGGGTAGCGAGACCACACAAGATGACGCACACACCGAGGGGGTGCACCCTGGCACTCACCACAGCCCGCCCCGCTGGTGTCCCTGCACCCAGAACAGGGCCTGGTGCGGGCAGGCAGGTGCCGTCCCCTCTTACCTTGGCAATGATGTCCTTGAACTGACCTTC